CCATCTTGCTGGATCGTCGAGTTTGGCTTTTTTGAATTTATCTATAGACTCAATTTAGAACCAACTGTAAAGCCTGCCCAATTATCGTATTGGGCAGTATAGTCATTTTCACTCTTTGGAATAGCAAAATTTTAAATTGTTTAACACACTTCCATTCACTTCGTCAAAATTGTTTGGTAATCTTTGATTCAAATCCCACTTTATACTTTTCTAGGTTTGATATCCGCTTGATGAAAGAAGGTCGCATGAAAGGACAAGCTTTTGTTGGACTTCCAAATGAAAAGGCAGCAGCAAAGGCCTTGAAGGAAGTTAATGGATATGTTCTTTTTGGAAAACCGATGGTGGTTGTATCCTTTAAACCCATCTGTTCCAAGACTATAGGTTTTAGAAGAAGGGTAGAACTGAAAGTAATTTATGTTGAAATATAGGAATTTGAACAGCAGGCATTCTAGCTTGTGGTACTGTCACCCTCCGTATCTGCAAGTTCCATATCAACAGATTCAAACAACCATGGCTTGAAAATATTTAAAAAAAAAAAAAAAAAATTAGTGATCAGATGGTCAAAGCAATCTGTCAGAGACTGAGAGGGAGTATAATTGAAAGGCCAGCATTTTGAACCCACTGGCTGCTCCTGAAGAGAAAGATGTGACAGTCTGCTGCTTTAAAGATTTCAGCCTTAGAAACCCTACAGAGGAGTTCTATTCTGTCCTGTAGAGTAACTATACCTCAGAATCCACTCAGTGGCAATGGTTTTAGGGGGTTTGGGTGAGTAGGTTACATGCAAATACTGTACCATTTTTTATATGGAACTTGAACATCCTTGGATTTGATATCCATGGGGATCCTGGAACCAGTCCTCTGTGGATACTGAGGGACAACTATATTTGTTAAATTTAAACATCATGTACCTTAGCTGAGTCAAATAACTTATTAGATTTTATTGGAAAATAAAGGAACTTCATTAGCGTGGGGTTAGTAAAATTTCAGCCAAATCTATATACATTTCACTTATTCAGCTCAAAAGTTAAATATTCATGGTAAACTTAAGAGACTGAAATTTCCATGAAATATTTGTAGTCATTCAAGAATACTATTCATTGTAATATATATATATATATATATATATATAGGTATTTTATTGTAATGTACATTTTTCTTTGAGAATTTTATTAGAATATATCATTGACCAGCCATCCTGCTTTTAGTAGTTAATGCATTTTGCAAACTAGGAATCAGTGGGATAATGTGGAAGAGTGAAGGAGTAAAGATAATGGCTATATAGAAAAGATGAATATTTTACTTCCTTTTAAATATCTAAGAAAATCATAGAAAACAGGTTGGAAGCACTCAAAAAAAAATATTCAATGAATGCTTGAGAGAAGGAAGACAAGTATAAAAGACAAAAACTGTTATATGCATTAACTGGGAGCTCTGGTGGTATAGTGCCTAAGGCATTTTACTGTTAAACCAGAAGGCTGGCAGTTCAAACCTACCAGCCGCTCCCTGGAAGAAAGGTTGGACAATCTATTTCAGTAGTGATACTGCCTCGGAAACCCAAGGAGGAGAAGCTATGAGTCAGATTCGACTACACAGCAGTGGTTGTGCTTTTTTTTTTTTTTTTAATACATTAACTGTACATTAGAAAGTTCTTGGTGTAGTTTTTAGAAAAGAGTACTTTTGATTTTTATGATGGAAACCTTAATTGTAAAAATATTAGCAGTTTGCTCGATCTGCTAGACCAAAACAAGATTCTAAAGAAGGAAAAAGAAAATGTTAAAAATTAATAAAGGTAGGTGTGGCTATAAAATAAAAAAAGGATAAGACCATGTATGTCTTAAGATAAAATTAAGAGCAGAAGCCTAATGCAATAGCAATTCAGCAGTCTCCGAAGGTTTCTCAAGAATTTATCTTCATGCAGTTAACCACCATTTAACTTTGGAATTGTAACTACAGAATAATACCCATTGGTATGTGAAAATTAAGTTTGGAGAATAAATTTTATAAGGATGACATTTTTTTTTTTTTGTCTTTATTTATTGTTTCTGCCTAGATTGAAGCGGTGAATTTTAACTTTAACACATGTTAGAATCACCTGGTAGGCTTGGTTCCTGGGCTCCACTCCCAGAGTTTCTCATTCAGTACCTAGGGTAACCATCCTAGTTTACATGTGACTGAGGAGTTTCCTGGCACATTGGACTTTTCAGTACTAGAGGTGTTGGACAAGTTGGTCACCATAGATGGAGCCTGAGAATTTGCGTTACTAATGAATTTTCCCCTAATAGTGAGGCATCTGGTCCAGGGACCACACTCTGAGAATTCCTGAGGTAAACACTTAAAGCTAAATTTTCTAACACTTGAAATTCTACAGTCCTGAGTCCATAAAATTACTGATTATTAACATATTTCTCAGCAAATGGATTTTTTTTTATGGAATGAAATATTTTGTCCATCAAATAAATACTTTTAACGCATTCTTAAGTAGTTTGAGGATTAAAAATGTTTCAAGTATTGTAAATTCTAAAGCTTGTGGTATAGTAGATTTAGGTAAGGTGTTGAGTGGAAATAGATTCCTTTTATTTTTTATTTTATTTAAAATCTGTCTTTGTGAACCAGAAGAACAGGAAGTTAATTAGTCAAAATTATATTTAGCTGAAAACAAAATCATGTGACTAAAAAAAAGGAAATTTTGCTTAGTGTTTATTCCCTCAAATTTCTTGAATATTTGAATTTAGTTGTAAAGTATTTATACGGATACAGTCAGAATTTCTATCATAAAGGAAAAATTAAAAACAAGTAATTTTTAGTGTGTCATTAAAAAATCTTTTAATTGTAAATTTAATGCTGAAAAAGAAAATTAAACTGCATTCTGCTGTTCTTCTTTAGAAGCATTCCTGCGTAAATACTGCTGTAATACTGTCATGCAAAGTGTATCCTTTCTTGTTGTATCCTTTTTGTGGGGCAGTGCTTTTTTTTCCCCCTAGAAATGTTTTACCCTTCCTCTACCCATTGATAATAGAATGAGCAATGATTTTTACATTTATCCAAAGGAAATATTTCTAAAATTATCCCTGCAGATTGAACAAATCATTTGTGTTTTTTAGACTTGTTGAATTTTCTCTGTTCTTGAAGTTACATCATTTTTCCAGAGAAAGTTAGTGAATCAGGTCAACTTATTTACTAGGAAAATGTATGCATTTACTTTAACACAGAATATAGTCTTGCTTTTATTTGTGTATTTCCTAAGCCTGCTAATAACAATATGCTGTTTTATGACATACCTAGTTTAGGTATTCTATATGTTGTAAAATTTGATTAGGGAAATATTTTTTTCTTTTAAAAAATTTCATTTTGAAAACTAAAATAACTGATTTCTGTGTAAATTCCAAGTAAGAATAGCTGTTCTCCCATCTGAAATCAAATTATTGAAATTATCTTTGAGATTGATAGCAAGTAGAAGTATCTTTTTTCCTTTTTTTCCTAAAAACAAAGATGGAATACAACAAGAGTAACAAAAGGGAGAAGACACTGTATTGACTCAGGGTAGCTCATTAAGTGAAAAGGAATAATCCTGGTAGGTATATAAGCACAGTAAATTTCCAGACTGGTAAATGCCCTAAAACAGTGGTTCTCAATCTTCATTGCGTAATAATGACCTGGGAACTTTCAGAATTTACTGATTGAGGGAAAAAAAAAAAAAAAAAAAACTTAAAAAAATATATGATGGAGTTTTATTTAATTGATGTGGGGTCCAACCCAGATAATTAGAGAAGATTCCCCTCATAATTCTGAGGACTGATTGGTTTGAATAGTACTTTGTTAGCATAAAATGATCAGGTGCCACCCTAGCCATCTAACCTAAAAAGTAGGAAAGTTGAGACTTGAAGCCTCTATGTGTCTTTCTTGTAAATTCCATTAGTACTATGGAAACAATTCAGAATTATGCTTATAATTATAATCCCCCTAAAAGCATAAAAATAATACATACTGAAATTAAGTGGGAACACTTAAAGTGTTTTAGTATTTTATGTTATAAATCACTGTTTCTGTGTAAGCTATTTACTTAATTAAAATTTTTTTTATACTGACATGATTCACTAATTTTCTAAATATAAATAATTTAGCTTTTAGTTATTTTTAAACCATGAATAGTTTTATAATCGTAATTACTTTTAACGGACTTTTATGGTGTTTTAGGTTCCTTTTGAGTTCCATACCTTCAAGTACTTTGCTGCTTTGAGGAGAAGAAGTTGGCTACCTGGACTATGGAACTGTGCGTAACAGCTTATAAAGTGTATTTAAAAATTAAATCTGTGTGTATTTAAATCAGTTGATTGGAGATGCAGTGCATGTGTTTTAATCACTTTCTTCATATATAATAAATAATTTTATTACTCACAAAATAGTGTTCTTAATTTTTTATATGTATGTTGTGTGCATCTATTATAACTCTATTACATATTATTTAATTCCATATATTGTGGAATTGTGGTAATTCCACAATACTAAATGTAGATTTTCTTTTATAGTTACAAATACTCCCATTTCTAACTAGATACTAATGCAATTACATTTTTAAAATGGTAATCTTAATTCTACATGATAATTATTTTAGGAATTTTATTTGTTTACGTTTCAGGTTTTTTGTTGATGTTGTTGCAGAGTATTTTTATTTATTGTTTTATTTTTACTAGTGCTTCTCTCAAGTATAGGGTATTTAAATCCACATCTCAATTTAATGTTCTAGATTTGTGCCCCTAAATGCATCAGAATATCACTCAGAGGTGAAAATGTTTCCATATAAAATTCTTTTATTCTCTTAGTGAAATGAGTTTTAGCTATATGTAAGTAGAAAAAAAAATGGTATTTTTTATTTCATCTTATTAATATTCTCCTGTGAGTATGTGATAATTAGTGTAGAGTGATTGCCCAAAGGCTCAGATCTTCTGGATATTGGCAGTTTTACCAACTTACAAAAGTGATTTAAATGTGCAACTAAGTGTGTGAAAAAAACAGGAAGGATTTTTACACATAAAGATTCTTGTACTTTACCCTCGAACTAATAAATCTCAATATCTAGAGATAGGTCCCAAGAATGTAATTAGAAAAGGTTTGCCTCATAATTCTAAGGATTGACAGATTTGAATACTATGCTAGCATAAAATATTCAGGTGTCTAATACCAGCGCAGAAAGAAGATGGAACAGTCTACTTCTGTAAAGATTTAACCACCTCAAACCCATTGGGGCCACTGAGTCAGAATTGACTTGAAGGCAATGAGTTTGAGTTTGAGTTAATACTAGCTTAGCTTTCTTCCCTTTTATTAGTATCATTATTAGGTGGCAAAGTGAGAATAGTAAAGATGGGAATTAGAAGTATGCAGAAGTGAACCCTGGAATAAGCAAATATTTAGACAACAAGTAGGTATTAAACCATTAAAGAAGACTGAGGAGGAACATCTAGAAACCAAGTAAAGAAAGTATTCCAACCAGGTGTCTTAGCCCTGTGCTGTGTGCACCACACCTCTCTGTCCCAGGCCTGACTATTCATGTATCACAGCCTGCACTGTGCCCTGAATTGGGTGCCACATGGCTCCAGGTACTTCTTGGGCTTCTCTCTGCTATGCTGGGAGGTATTTGGGTGGAAACATCATAATCTTCCTAGGAGATCTGCTTTGGCTTTGGAACAAAAGTTAGTGGATCCTTTATTGGGCATCCAGTGTTCATTTGTCAGCTGGTAGTGTGAGATGGCTCCCAAAAGTCCCTTGACTACATTTGGTAGGAAGAGGAACTGAAAGCACCCTATTTGTCTGCCCAAGAGATTTGCCTTTGGTTTTGAAATCAGAGGTTATAAGGCCTATTCCTGTGCCCTGGGTATTTTTATACCCACTGCCAGTGTGAATTGGAAACCAGATAGCTGTGGGGCAGCTCCAGGTCTCTCTCCATAACAGTAGGAAAGGGTGGTGTAGATTCATCCCAGACCATCTTCCCAAGAGATCTGCTTTTGGATTTGGATCGGACGTTCCAGAATGCTGGAATGCTATATTCTTGCCAGTGATGTGTGTCAGCCTGATGGGGGAGTGGGAGAAGGCTTCCTATAGCATCTACTCTTGAAAGGTTAAGAGGAAAGGTTAAGAGACACTTTCCTTTGTGTCCAACGGCAGTGTGGGTCAGTTGCTGAGTTGTTGCCCTGGTGTCCCACTGGCATGCCATGAGAAGCAAGAGAAAAAAGACTGTGGAAGAGCCCTTCCCCTACCTTAAAATTTTAAAATTACTATTCAGTTTTCAGTTCTTTGGGAGCTCTGGTGGCGTAGTGCCTAAGGCACTTCAAACCCACCAGCCACTCCTTGGAAGGTTGGGCAATCCACTTCCATAATACTGCCTTGGAAATCCAAGGAGGGGCTGCTATGAGTCGGATCCGACTCAATGACAGTGAGTTTGGTTTTTGGTTTTTGGTTTTTGGTTTTTTGGTTTCAGTTCTTTGCTGCTGTTTATTGTCCATCATTTCAGACTTATTATAGTGCCTTATATATGGATTCTCATTGCTTTTTTTGTTATTCTTGTGGAGAAAGTCAGATTTTAGATCTGCTCACCCACTGTCTTTCCTAAGACATATATATTCTTATAGCCTGTTTATCTAAAGGAAGAGAAGGTAATGCTTGCATGATAGTTTATGCATTCTACACATCTAATTTCACCAGTGAAAATCCAGTTTAACATTATGCTAACAAATACCTTACGTTGATTAGAGGTAAAAGTAGATCATAACTTTATAGAGATTGGCCTTTGAATTAAGTAGTCGGGAACCACACTGAAAGATGTATTCCTAATTAGACCAACTGACTGCCCCTAAAAGTGTGGATTTAAGCTGACTAAAATATATCATGTCCATGATGATTTATTTTAAAAGAAATTATAAGCCACATAATGTTTACCTTCCTTTCCTCTCACCAAAGTAGTTAATTAATATTTTTGAGTTAGTAGAACATAATAAAACCATTAAAAAACAATGATACCCAATATTCTTCATGCATTTTCCTTCTCTCTAGCTCTTCTTTTCTCTTTTCACCACCATGTATTAAGAATGAGTATTAAATAACTCTACACTGCTTTCAAGTCGGATCCGACTCATAGTGACCCCTCCTTGGGTTTCCAAAGTGGTATCACTATGGAAGTAGATTGCCCAGCCTTCCTTCAGAGGAATAGCTGGTGAGTTTGAACCACCAGCCTTCTGGTTAGCAGTCAGGTACCTTAGACAGCATGCTATCAGAGCTCCTATTAAGTAACTAACTGCATAAAACAGATAATGAACATAAATGGCTTTTTTAGTGATAAGTTGTCCAGATCATTGCAGAGTTTTTAATCATAAACTTATTATTAAATGAATTAAATATTAAATGTATCCTACTTGGTCAAAACTTTGATCGTTCTAGAGCAATGGGTAATACAAATGTAATAATGACAATAACAAAAACAGCTAAGATTTTAATATAATTTCTCATTTAGTCCTCACTGCAGTGTTGTGAAGGAGTCATTATTAGCTACACATTGTAGGTAAAGAATTAAAGGCTTTTGGAGTATGAGCCACAATTTCAAGGTCACATAATTAGCTAGCAAATGGTGAGTCAACGACTTAAGCTCATGTCTGACTCTAAATGACTTTAATTTTTACACACTACCATATCCCATCAGCCCCTCGCCCATGGCCAGCTTTCCCCGTTCTGTATGTAGATTCAATTAAAAAATTAATTCTTAAGCACTTCTATGTATCTTGAAGTTTACAGAAATAAGTAGTAGGGAACATAAGACTTTGCACACACTTCTTTATTAAAAAATAATAATAATACATGTGGAACTGCTTGTTGAGATGACACTTAATCTAATTTTTTCCTGATCATATAATAGCTACCAAATAAATATGAAACAGACCCCACCCATTCCTCCTTTGCTTAATATACAAAGGAAACAAATTCAGTTGCTTGAGTTTTTAAACCCTCAGAGGTGAAGGCCATAAAAATTGGTCAGTGTATGGAAAATGTTAAATACTTTGAGGGGATTTTCTTCGAAGAAAGTGTACTTTTAACCTCATCTCTTCTCAGATGAATAATGTGGCTTGGAAAGAAAAGTTTTATACATGTTCCCTGAAGTTAGAGGGTCTTGTGACCTGGGATTAGACCTAGGAAATCTGGACAGTGAGAAATGGGCTGAATAGCCATTTGGTGTAGAGTCAAGAGAGTTGCTGCTGCTTTGAGTCTAGGCTGCTCTCCTACAGTGGCAAAGGATGTGTAACTGGACTAGATATGGGCCATTCAGGGAAGAAAAACTCTGAGAAAGTCATTATAAGGGTTCACCAAGAGGATCAGCAGGGATTATGAGGAAGATCTCCAGGGAAACGAGGGGCTGAACAGGAGGTATTTCACGGGAGAGTTAAATGAAACCTCCAGTGTATCCATGAATGCATCCTATAAGAAAATAAGTTTTGGTCACATGCCAAGCGCAAAAAATATGGCACACCAACCAAGAAATAGAACATTGTCTTAACTCTCCTACTTACTTTGGCTGTGGAGGTTTCTGAGACAGGGGAGAAAAGAAATAACAACCATTCTCATTTGATTAAGCCAGGCAATCACAGGCCTTCAATTAGAGAAGAAAATGTCTTAATTTGAGTAACTTGATGCATTGATTAATAACTTGCATTGTATACATAACAACTAAATTGAAACTGTTTTGTGACCGAACAGCATGGTAGTTTGTGTGTCAACTTGGCTCGGCCTGGTTGAGTGACTGGGCACTGGATGTAGTATTGCCCATGATGAGACTGGAATCAACTCCATGGTGGAATCTACTGTAAGCAGCTGATGAGTTGCCTTTGGGTAAGTGGTCTGCTTCCCGTATATAAGCAGCAGCTTTGGGAATGGTCTCTAGCTCATGGCATGCTTGGACCCTACATGTCGCCGCGTCATTGTTCAGCAGCCTGCCGTGCTCTGCCAACCTTGGCAGTTAAAATACACTTGAATTCATGGCCTGCCATGCGGTTTGGTAACATTGCGACTGTGCCATTTTTTTTGTAGACCTTGAGCTTGTTAGCCTCAGCAGCCGATAGCTGCCTGAGTGAAGAGATGCCTCTAGCTTCAATGGACTGGGGACAAGAGGTAGAGCTGAAAGTCAAGGTCGAGGGGCTTTCACCCAGCCCCTAGAGCTTGGCACTTTGAACTCAGACTTAAAGCCTCCAAATTGTAAGAATAAACTCCTGTTTGTTTAAGCTATCCCATTTGTGGTATGTTCTTGTCAGAGTGGCACTAGGTAACCAGAACAAAGAGGCTCATAGGACTGCTTAATACCTAAGAGTAATCTAGAAAGTAATGGGAGCTACCTAGTTTTCATTCATTAC